CTCCAGGTTGAGCTGTTGTTCAGCATCTTAGCTGTGGAGGGCAGTGTTCACTGGCCCTCATATGTGGGATCCGAACCAGGGCCCTCTTGCATCCCAAGCGAGTTCTTAACCATCGCTCCACTAGGCTGGCCCCAGAGCTCGCACTCTTAAGCTAACTGTTAACCAACTGAGCCACTCAGCTGGCCCTGTTGATTCTGTTGATGCACAAAAGTTTAAAACTTTCACAAAGTCCAATTTGTCTGTTTTTTCTTTTGCTGCCTGTTTGTTTGGTGTCATATTCAAGAAATTGTTGCCAAATCCAATGTCGTGAAACTTTTGCCTTATGTTTTCTTCTAAGAGTTTTATAGTTTTAGGTCTTACATTTAGGCCTGGATCCATTTGGGGTTAATTTTTTTTTTCTTTAAGATTTTTATTGGGGAATTGGGGGAGGGGAACAGCGTTGGGTAATCAGGAAAGCGGAACAGACAAGTTGCTGTCCTTTTGTTCTTCAGTCTACTTGTGGAGGACACCACTTCACTGGCCCATGTTGGTATTATCATTGTGCTCTTCCCTAGTGAGGCAGTTGTTCGCCAGCCATTGGACGGCCACTCACGGTGGCTCATGGCAGCTCATGAAAGTTCACGCCAGCTGCTGGCCAGCCCCACTGCAGCCTACGCTGACGCCGGCGACTCAGGGCAGCCCAGCTCCAGGTTGAGCTGTTGTTCACTATCTTAGCTGTAGAGGGCGCAGTGTCACTGGCCCTCATATGTGGGATCCGAACCGGGGCCCTCTAGCGTCCCAAGCCAGTTCTTAACCATCGCGCCACTTGGCCGGCCCCATTTTATTTTTGGTACTTAATCTGATAGGTGAGACATACCCATGGTAAAAAATTCAAAAGGTATAAAAGGATATGTAGTAAAAAGCCAGTCTCCTTCTTACCCCATCTCCCTTGTACTTACAAGCATAGATGTCTGCCTCCCACAGAAACTAGCCCATTGAACACACAAATGTTTACTGATAATACAAGGGGTGGGCTGGCTGTCAGAGCAGGGCCTCCTGAACCCCAAAAGTAGCATCCTCCTTTTGAATAGTGTTGGTCCAGCTGGCTGACGGTTCAACTTCTAGGTATGAGTGAGGAGTCTCTGGTCCCTAACAGAGCCTTGCACAAAGCATAGAACCACGTTCTGTGCATGCAATAATGCTTTGTAAGTATATATGGCACGCTGTTTGTGCAAGGTGTCATTAGGCTGTGGACATGCTGGGCAGAATGACAGTGGCAAAGAGGATGTGGTAAGGCTGGACAGCCATCTCAGCCTTTCTCATTCCGACTCTCTTTGGTCCACAGGTTCATTTCAGAGGCAGAGCTATTTGTGGCTGTGCAAAGCTTCCTCCTGTCTCTGCAGGACCAAGGTGAGCGCCCTCCTCTTACGGTCTTCAGAGCCTCCATCTATCTGCTTGCAGTCTGCCAGGACAAAGATGATGCACTAGATGAGGTATGGGCCAAAAAGCCTGGGGCTCCTCCTCCTGCACCTTTTTACATTAGGGTTCCTTGGAAGACCATGATGTTATATACAGAGTGTGTCAAATAGGTATATACACATTTGAAGAAAGGAAAAAACTGTATTAAAATTGTAATACAATGAATGACGCTAGCATTCATTTGATTAATGCCATCTTTTGAGCAAACGTCATACTACACATTGCTACCGTAATTCAATTCAACTTCGAAAAGTAATATATAGATAACATCTCTTAAAATGTGTACATTTTTTTTGGCACCCCTGGTGTATAGAGAAGGGGCATGGTAGAGAAGGCAGGAGAGATAGAGAGAAGGAGAGCTGGAGGAGTAGAAGTGGGTAGGGTGCTGACACCTACAGAGCCTATGTAATGTAGCTAATTCTCTCAACAGTCCTGGGAGGCAGAGATTATTATTTCCATTTTACAGATAAAAAAAATTGAGACGTGAGTTAAAATCACTTTCTCTAGGTCACTCAGTTAATTGGTGGGGGACCCAGGACTCCAACTCAGATTTGACCAGCTCCCAAGGCTCTTTTCTTAGCACCAACTCTGGTTTGTATAGGATGAGAGAGGTGTGAGATATTTCCTTCTGGTAACAGTTTGTCAGACAAAGTGGGTTGCTGGGACCCAGATCATTGTTAATCAGATCGCTTTGATGGTGGTTGTTGGTGTAGGAGATTTCTCTCTCCAGCTTCTTTATAAACTCTTGGGGATCAAGGACTGTGTTTGATTCATCATGGAATCTCACATTTTTCATTGAAGATTGCTCCTATTTCTTAGATGTGGATCCTTCAGCCTCAATCTGAGGATACTCTTCCTTCACTGACTATTAATTTTGCCTCTTTTTGATAACTGTTGAGGCAAATGTGATGTAAGCAGACCTGGTTTAATTTGAATGGAAGCAGGAGGGTAAAGTGGAAGTGCATGTGTTTTCAAGTAAAATAGACGTAGGTATACAATGTCCCAGTGTCTCTCTTTTTGTGGTATTAGCAGCCATTGGTTATTATTACCTTGATCCATTAATTCATTAGGGATTGCAAAATAATAATATCCTAACTCTGTCATTCTCTCTTTGTTTATTAACTGGGATACCTGTATAAAAAGAAACTTCCCTCATCAACTATTTGGATACTATGAATGGTAGATTGTATAGGAAGCATAGGTTGAATGTTTGATTCTTTCCCTTTAATTACCAGTTTTCAAAAAAATGAATTGAGGGCCGGCCAAGTGGCTCAGTTGGTTAAGAGCTCGCTCAAGAGTTTGAGCTCTGAGCAACAGCAGTTCAATTCCCGGCCCGAGCTGAGCAGNGCTGCCAACAGGTAGCAGGATGGCTCAGCTAAAAAAAAGAAAAGAAAAAAAAAGTAGAGAGGTTGCTGCCTTAGCCTGTCTCATTAGGTTTCTAGAGCAGCCTTCTCTCTATCTTCCCATTTATGATTTGCCACCTGTCTCTGCATTTACTTGGCAGGTTCCATTTATTACTACCTACAGCTGGCAAGGTGACTGCAGTGGAGTATCTAACTCTCCTTCCATGTTTATGAATAGCATACCCATCGTTCAAGAGAAAATATGGGGATCCATCTGGATTCAAAGTCACAATTTTGGATCTTTGTAGTTCTCCTTGAGTACCCATCTCGGGCTCAACAGCTTCCTCTCTTTCTAGTACTTCCCAGCCCTTTCCTGATCCAGGAATACTTTTTTGTTTGTATGTTTTGTTAAATTAGAACTTAGTAGCCCTCCTTGATTTATTTTTTCAGCAAATTTTTAGTGAATGCCTATATGGGTCGAGTGTCTAAGGTACAGCTATGGGCAGCAGGTTCCATATTTACTTTGCACAGCCACCTCTGGACCTCCTCTACTAGGGCCATGGTTAGAATTTCACAGGGCTCTGGCACAAAGCAGTGGAGCTCTGGTACGTGGTAGGGATAATGTTGTCCCAGTCAAAGTAGCAACGTCCTCTCTCTTTTTCTCTCTTCCTCATCTCCCTCTAAGTCACTCAGCCCTAAACCAGGTATGTTCCAGTTTCCTCTACTACTTGTGCATCAGCCTCCTCTCAGCTCCAGAGAAGATAGAACCACCTTCCCGAGAAGGTAAGATGCTGCCGTTTGACCACTCGTGAGGTCTGTGGTGTGCTTTTAGAGTCTGGATGCCTTGTTGATTGGCTGGGTAGTGAGTCAGTACAGTAATAAGATCTCTTTGCTTAAAGCTGCCCAAAGAACCATGAAATCATGGAATGATGGCCCTGTAGGCTGATTTTTAGGGAGGTGAGATAATAATCAGAAAATGATGGAATCCAAGGCTCCTGGACCCCTAGACTCTTTAAGGGTTGAGAAAACGACCCTAAAGCTCATCTAGCCTGATTCCTTTATTCAAATTTTAAGCTCCGAGGTCCTTTTCTTTTATACTCTTTAGTATTAAAATACCCTTTTTTTTATGAAACAGAAAACTAGGAGTCTGCTCTTAGGATAGCATTTGAATTCTTTACTCAGCATTCAAGGTGTTTCGCAGTCTAGCTACAAATTACATCCCACAGTTCCACAACTCTTGACACTCCACATCTATTCACTGACGGCTCAGTCACACTGAACTCCTTGCCGCCCCATAAACACGACATGTCCTCTTATGCCTCTGAACAGCTTGCTTCCTTTCCCTAGGATTCTCTTCCCTTCCTTTTGTGCCTATTTTGTGCTCACCCTCTACAGTTCCCTCCTCTTTGAGCTTGCTTTCCCCACTCCAGGAGGAATGAGACACTGATCACATGTCCTGCAATTATCTGTCTCATTATCTGTTTTTTTCCCCACCAACTGCCAGCTCCTGGGGCCAGTGTCTCACAGCCTGGCCTAGAGGAGCCACTCAGTGAACATTGGTCAAATGAATGACTGAATCTATGACCTCTCACGTGTTACCTTTAGTCTCTCCTGATAGGCTGAAAGCTGCATAAAGGAAGAAGGGATTCTGATTTCCTTTCACCCCACATGTACCCTTGTCACCCAGTGCAGTTCTCTTCATGGAGTAGATACTCATGTGCTCATTACCTGCTTTCCTGTGTTCTCTGTGGCTCCCGCCCACTTGTTTCCTCCCCAGAACTCTCTGCAGTGTCTGAGCTCCTGCAGCAAGGGCTGCCCCACATAAGCAGCAGGAGCCCTGAAAGCCTTGCCTTCCTGTCGGATTGCCAGTATGTGGAGGGAGCTGCTCGCCAGAGGCAGTGCTGCATCCTGCTCCTCTTCTACCTGGCCTATGTCCATGAGGACAGGTTGGTGCTCAGAGCTGGTGGCCAGTGGTGGGTTCTGGGACCCACATCTGCAGCCCAATTCAGCTCTATAAATATTTACAGAGGCAACCTCTCAAAGCCTGGTGCTGGGCACTGGGGCGCAGAGATACGTGAGAAATGGGTCGTATTACCGAGGAACTCACATCCTGGAGGGGGGAAGGTGCTGAGACAGAAGTCTAGAATGCTCACGAGAGTTCCTTGGTATCCTTGAGGGTGTTGTCTGTGCACAGAAAAAAATAATTTCAGTAATTTATGTTGGCTTTAAGAATTACTGTAGGGCCGGCCGAGTGGCTCAGTTGGTTAAGAGCTCGCTCAAGAGTTTGAGCTCTGAGCAACAGCGG